CATAATTTCCCACACTGGACATAATAGGTAAACATTAATCAAGAGTATACTTCAGCAATATCGTAGAACCTGACTATTTGTAGGACAAGGGACAAGGTTGGTCGAYCCCATACATTCGTAATCGATGGAAAGAGGGAAAAAAGAAGAAAATACAATCATTGAAACACGATTCCACAATTTTTTTCTGAAATATACCTGATCCAAGATTCCAATAATGATTTTAAATGWAATGTTCATTTGCACTCGTGTAATTGTGTTATTATAATATATACATGTCATAAGTTATGACTCATAACTGTAATATTAAGTTGCATAGGTAAACTGATCATTTTTATCGAAAAAAACACTAAATGGTGTCAATACAGCAGCATGTTAGTATATATAACATATAACAAATTAAGCGTACTACACCAATAAATGTTAAGACTGAAAACATTTCGGTATGATCATAATTTATTTTACCTTAGCACCTACAGTAGAGTAGTGAATAATATAATATTTTTAGTCATAAATAAGCTGATTTGTATGACGTTTTTTTCAAATTTTATCTCAAGTAAAATAAAATGTATCAACTTTTGATAATTGATAATTTTATGAAATTTTTTAGATAAGTTTGTTTTAAACGTTTTTAAAACTTCAATAAAACCTTGAATATATTAGAATGAGAATTAAAAGGATAAACATTTGAGTTGAACTTATAGAAGAAACATTGACTCAARTGTTTGTAGTGCAAGGCTCTATCAGAACCAATTACAGTTAACGCTAGCCTTAATTAGGTGCTTATTAACAATAAATCACAAAATTCGTTTATTTCATTATGTTATAGTTTTTCAGCTATGAAACTATCTACAAAACAATCTCACTTTTATTAGATTAAGAAATGGTTAGCCAAATTCCTATTTTCTCATTTTTAATATTAAACTTTTATAAAAACCCTAAACTTTGAGTTATACAGTACCTACCTAAAGCTTGACTAACAAAAATTGCATCTCTGTATTTGTGTATTCGAATAAATAGTATTAATTGATTGGTTTATTTATACCTCAAATTCCAACAGAAATAGTTTATTTTATTTTATTCTAATTTCATTGGTTTTTTTAATAATACAATATGATATGACTTTAATGTTTTATGCGGCAAAAATCAAAACATCAATGGAATATAGTATTTATATTAAATTATTATAAACTTAAATTATTTAAGTATAGTAATTAAATTAATCACGATTAAAATTTACAAAAACATCTATTTATGAAAATATTATAATCTCATTTAAATCTCAATTTAAAAAAAATTAATTTCTTATTTCTATTAGTTTTGAAATCTCAACTAAACTAAACAATGTATATCAACTTCCTTCCTTGGCTTTGAAATCGTACGATAACAACTATTGGCTCTATAATATTATATATTCCTTGAGATTAAGTTTGTATGATGCACTAACAAATTACCTTTATTTTTATAATAASTAATTTTTATTGGTTTCTCTATACAATACCATTAGAAGTTGAACACTTTACTTTTTTAGATAAAATAATGAATACAAATCAATAAATTAAATTCTTTCAACAAGAAAATCTTTAAAATTTAAATAATTTGTTTAACTAATAGGTATACTGTCTAGAACTTTAATTACTAATTTACTATTTAATAGTTAATATAAGTATATAAAATTAGTATCTATATTGTGTATATACCTACATATAGTAATACGAAGTAAAAACTATATGCACAGAGATACCTTATTATATATATATTTTTTTTAAATGTATACCTTTAGTCATTAAATATTATTAAATATGTTTGAAACCTATATTAATCAATGATTTATTGACCACACATTATATTTATAAAGATAAGCAAGTAAATTTTGAGAAAAAAAAAAGTAAAATTCTATCCCCGTTTGAGACATATACGACAGACTAAAAATATAGAAGTTAGTACGATTTTTTTTAAAAATTATTATCCATTAAATATAGATAATTTTCACACGATTCCGTTATTGTAACGCATAGTATATATATATATATATATATAATTGTTTTCTAATATTTTTTAGAAAATGTTTCTCTCATGTTGGAATCGTGCAAATATGAGAAAGCTTGGTATATACAGTCGCGACCAGCATGGTGTGCCGTGTTCACGCAGAATGATTTTGAAGTACGTATACAATATGCAATTATTAATGCGGTTTAACCTATGAACAGTACTATTATAGCGTGTGTACAATATTATTATATTTTCATATTGGATAGGTAGCAGTCTAATGTGTGACCAATCAACATAATTCGATTTTATTTATTCATAAGTACTGGTAGTGCTTGACATTCTCAGTTACTCATCTTTTAAAAAATAATACATATTTCACGTCTACTCAGAACTCGTCAAATATGGTTTCTATTAGTTTGCACGTATTGACCTCCACCATTTGATTTCCCAATTATCTAGCTATGGTGGAGCTTCGTTATGAGTGACGGCGCTCTGGATAGGCAATTTAGGGCCATCATAATAAYAATCAGTATACGGTTGACACATAATGTAAAACTACAGCAGCCGTAGATTCAATTATTTTAAATATTATTAAATACATCCATTGCCTTACAGTCCAGTGTTTCCCAACCTTTTTCTACTCAACGCTCCTTTTAGATTTTAAAAATCTAATAGCGCCCCCCCCCCACCATTCAATTTTTTCAACTATCTAGTACCTAAACTCTTTAGTCCGATATGATAATTATTAAGATGTTATTTAAGTGTCTATAAATATTATAACTACCTACATAATTCCGTATATTATATTTGGTATTTTAAATTAGTTTTTATTTGCAATCAGTTATAAACAATAAAAACGTTAATAATAGATGAGCACCCTCTCAGAAAAACACCTCCTTCAAAATAAAAATGCCCCCAGATGAGAAGGTGGTAGCGCCCACGTTGGGAAACACTGCCTTACACAAAGACAAAGGTAAAAGTTCTAATCCAACCGGAGACTTAGAAAACCTAATCCTTATATGATTTATATAAGGTTAATACAACCACAGAACATTCCTCAGTGCAAATTATAAAATTATAAGCTATCAGAATGATATCCTGCAATGATTCTAATCAGTTAACAGTTAATCGCAACTCTTCTGAAATTACGTAACTGCAATTTGTAAGTGTTCTAGAATTGCTGCAGTGGTCGTCAATCAGTGGCCCACGCAACAATGTTATAAGACCATTATTATTTTCAAAAAAGAACAAAAGATTTTCTTATCTGACACAGCAAAACTATTTATATAACCTGTTAGGGTCACTAATCACTGCTTTAGGGGTTTGTGTATTTAGGTGTTAAAAATGTTATTTACATTTATTTGTTTAATAATTAACACTGATATTTTAATGGATTTCAGCCAATGGTCCTTAATTCTTTGTATCACTCTGCAGTTCACAGTATTAATATATTATAGAATAAATAATAATAATAATATATATTATACCACTTACTACCACTATTGATGATTTTAAATTTGTTGACAATAATGTTTGTTTTTTTTCTCAAGATCCTTGAATATGTAGATGATCTTAAGTATTATTATGACAGCGGGTATGGAAATTCCATTGGAGAGAGCATGGGATGCCCTATTGTGAAGGACTTGATAGACAATTTCAAGTATGAACAACTTGGATCATTGTTTAATAATGAATTAATAACATTGTTATATTAAGCATAAGATAACATCTTATAAGGAAAATAAATGTTTTTAATTCAGCGGTTCCCAAACTGTGCGCCGGGGCACCGTAGTGTCTTTAMAGGGGCGCCGCGCTGCCGTAGCATGTTATCATTCACCCCATTAATTTAAATTTTAATATATACCTAAATCTTAATACAACTAATGTCTTATAACATATTATGTATAATTACAATTAAACAAATATTTTCATAGTATATATTACAAATTGTTCTGGTTTTTTATAATTTTTTATGAGGGGCACCGTGTAAACCTCTTATTTCAAAAAGGGCGAAGCGAGACAAAAAAGTTTGGGAACCTTTGTCTTAATTGTTTCAAATGTTAACATTATTAGAATTATAATTAAAACAAGAAAATATGTACGTAATATGTTACTAACTATACAACTAAGTATAGTCAGTAAATTTTAATTAGYCAACAGTTTCTAATTCTAATAATGTTTATTATAATATGCTAAATACTAAGCTTCTTCAATGTTATATTTTTGAATATCAATATTGTTTTGTTTTTTATGGTACCAAAAAAAAAGTTGAAGTATTGATACTCTATGAATATAATTGTCTAAATAATGGCTAAAGATCAGTAAATAGATTGTTTATAAAATATATTGTACAATATTACAATRCTTTGGTATATAATTGCTTGTACTAAAAAATTCCATAAAATCAAAATTAAAAATTAATTTTGATCATCGATATATTTCGATTATCAATATATTGCACGATATATTACGATTTTCAATATTTAAATTCCACAAAAAAATTTGTAATATCAATATTGAATGTGTTGAAGAAGCCAACCAAATATAATAAAACACAACTTTAACATAAAATATAATAATATAATTACAATATACCTTATTAATTGTATAGGAATCTTGCAAGAGGAAAACAAGGACCATTAGGAATATTTTACTTTGGACACTCACCTAACGTTTTGAGTGTGGTTGCCAGATTAGGTATCGGGAAAGATGATACTCCATTACTGAGCACAAACTTTGAACAGATGAAAACTAGAAAATGGAGAACAACATTCATAGACCCGTTTGCATCAAACGTAATAGCAGTGTTCTACAAATGTAGAGATGGAAATAAAGCCATGATTTTACTCAATGAACATGGTATACCAATGGGTAAAGATGAGTGCCGAATATGTCCATGGGAACCAATTGAAGCACAATTCAATGCAATAACCTCTAATAACCAAACCTGCAACTTAAATATGTGTAAAAGCTCTGGAGCATTATCCTCAATAAATTTAGTCATAGTCATAATTGCATACATAATACACTCGCTGTATATTTAAAAATATWTTTTTGCTTTTATCTCTTTCAAAAAAAWTGAACATAAATGTAGTACTATCTTAATACTTAGTCTTTTTTTGAATTATCCAGTGCAACTTGAATAGACCATATACTCAGTGGTCTCATATAACCAACAGAGCGGTATGCATTTTTAGAATAAATAGCTTCTGGTGTCTGGTACGCCATGCCTATATTATTATAAACAGTATTATAAATACCTTTGGCTGTGTTAAAACCTTCTTCACGCAAACCCTATGAACAAATATTAATCATTAACAAAATATACTTCATTATGATACTATAATTGACAATATAAAACTAACGTATGAGATCATCAAAGAAGACAAAGCATATGTAACTCCAGTCCAAACTTCTTCACTTTGCACAGAATACGTGTCTAGATTTCCATCAGGCATCATGCCATTCACAGCTCCCATTTTTCCACCATTGAATCCAAGCACATTCATCTTGTAAATTGTCTGAAGAGCTTTTTTGACTTTATTAACTGGTAGCACCTAAAATAAAAACATAATTACTAGATAAAATAGTRCATATTAAGCTGAAACATCTTGAACAATCTATTACCTCTTCATTCACACCACAACATTTCAAATACCATTCTCCACACARTTGATCGGCCATAATTGATTTTGAATGATATTGACCAGACGAATCAAAATCATAATATTCACCTGAAAAAATAAATTTTCAAACATTATGATTCTGTTCAGTATTATAACAAAATATTAAGTTTATTTATAGTTATTTTAGTATTAAAATATTCATTAACATACATGTAGATAAATAAATAATATACAAACTATCAAAATTTACAAATAATTATTAACAATCTTTTAACAAAATATAACATAAGATATAAAATATATAGTTTTAATTTTTCTTATACAATGTAGATGATAGTTATATTATAGATATTATTATTGTGGTAATGGAGTATTATAATTAAAATATAAAACACTACATTACGTTAATTTAAAATAAATACATAATTTTTTTAATATATATTCAACAAGTCTTATTACATTATAATTATTTATTTTTTATCAAAATCTAACCTTTTATTTTTTCCATTTTTAGGCAACTAGCGAGGTTCTATTTCATCATTAAAAATACACTTGTTTCCATTCTATGTTTATAAACATAAAACTCTAAACCGAAATTAATCCAACCAGTCTAACCGAAATAATATAAACAAACATTATATCTTAGAGGACACACATTGTAAGCATCAGAGTACACTAATTTGCTTAAGCTTTATAAATTATAAATAAATTACAAAATCATTTGRCCATCATAGTACTCAATTATAAGGTGATTAATATGATTACAACTAAAACCAAATTACCATTCCATAAAGCAGCATTAAATGACTCCTTGGCTTTATTTATTATAGTAGAATATTTTTCACTGATATCTTCTTGTTTAAGAATATTTGAAATCTGAACAGTGCAATAAAGAGCAGCTAACCATAAACCTCCACAATAAGCACTAAAAATATAAATATAGTAAAACATCTAAAATTTAAAAATCCATTTAAATTAGATATAGTAAATATTTTGGGATGTTTCAMAAATTTCCAATCACACTGTTAGATAAGTAGAATATTATAAAACTTTAGTTTCTAGTAAAAATTAATACTTAAAACTCTAGTCCCTAACATTAAATTGTTCTTACTAAGACAATACAAAAATATTTAAATATATTATAAAAAACATTATTTTTTTTACAATTTTAAGAAATTTTTTTTTCAAATAAATGAATATATTATTACATAATTATTACCTAATTCCAGTCATTATCCATGTGTCAAAAGTTTGATCGGCTGTTCCAGAATTCTCAATCATTCCATCACCATTAGTATCCCAAGACAATGATTTCTCCATCACATTTTTTATCTATATATAGGTAAATAAATTATTATTCATTTAAATTTATAGTACGAACAGCATAAAACAAAAAATATTGTTTATCTTACATCAGTAAGAAACAAACGTTTGGATGAATATTTAAATTTAATTACTTGTGGATACATATCAGCCAAATACTTGATATCACCAAACATAATGTAATCTCTGTAGCATTGCAAAACAAATTTTAAATTAAGGTCACGCCATTCTGATACATTGTGTACTAAATAAGCATTCACTAAGTTAAAAGGGTCTTCCTCTATAAAATAAACAACATAATAATCTATAAAATGAATACCTTTTTATAAAAAATAATTATTTGATTAAAACAAACCTGGATCGCCTAGATCATGAGGTACACAATATTTGTAYTTCCGTAAGCCACTGGTACCACAGGATAAGTGTTTTCTTGTAATATTCAATGCATTATCAATTGAATCTCTAAACTTATATTGTATACATGCCTGTAGTTTAGGCCACAGTTTTGCTAATGTAAAAGATGCATAAAAATGTACATCATATGTATTGTACATTCGATACTCATGACCTTCCAAATACCCAAAATACCCATATTGATATCTTGGGTCTGTAACATCTAACCGTTCAAAATCTTCCTTAAGAGGTAACAACCAAATAGTACCTCCGTCAGCTACAAAATAAAYTTCATTGAAAATAGCACTTTTATACCAGTCGGGTAGTAATCTAAAATCAGAATTACAATAAATAAAATAAGTAATAAATATTAAACCCACAATACAAATTATAGCACAATCTCAGTAATCAGGCCAAAAGTTCAACCTGTTCGTCAATCTGATTTTTTTAAAAAGATTTTATGGTTAGAGTTTAATTTAACTTATCATCCAACTTTAATGATATATGAGTACATACCAATTATACTAAATTTTATGTGAAATAAATATTTTTGAAATACAGTTCATTTTTTTTTTTTACATGATATAATATATTCTGTTATACCTATTGACAATAAAATAAAATAATAAATTATCTCGGAAAAAAAACATAATTTTATATCAGGTGAGCTATTATCAATAGCATGWGTAATTTGTATAAACAGGAATTGAAATGAAAAATATAAATAAACTGCAAATAGTGTTAGTAATAATCAAACTTTAAAAAGAATTGAATTTCTATAGTTAAAATGCTTTTTCTATRAAATAGTTCAATTAACAATYCAAAAATAGTTTCTGACCAAAATATAAAATACTTTCAATAATCCTACAGTATTCTGAGACTTTTGTTACCATGTATTGAAATACCAAGATTTGGCAGTACTAAGTACCTTTATTTGTATATGTTACAATAAATTATATTAAATTAGAGAATAACAAATGAAAAATTATGAAACAATTTAGGATTTAAAATTATTATAAACGATATTAGCTTACAAAAATGTAAATTATTATAAATGTCCAAAAGTAAAATGGTGTGCACCAGGCAACAAAGGCTTAGGCAACATTAACCAGAAGAGTTTTCTAAATTACCCGTATTTAATGTCCTAAGTTCATTCGGAATAAAGTATACAATTTAAATTTTATAATGATCCAGTTTACTGAAATATTAAATGGCAACACATAATTGGTTCTCTAGAATGCAAATTTGCAATACTGTATAAATGACAAACAAGAATGTAGGAGTAGCATCTTCTTAATCAATTAATTAAGGTTCATATTATTTAACTAACATTTTGCATCTTATATCTATTTAAAATAGATAATAATAAGAAAAATTAATATTAATCATCAACCAGAGAATGGCGTGAAAATTTGGTTTGTAACCTCAATGGCTAACACAATTAGTGASTATCGTAATAATGTGAATTAACTTTAACAAAATTAAATTAACACATTGTCCTTAAATGTAAAAATATTATAAACGAGTATAGGTGTTTTTTATATGTACTTACGAATTATTTAAAATAGGATTTTGCCATTTTTCAATTTCTTGTTCCCATTTTTTATAGTTTTGCATTGAATAATGCATTATTTTAGGACCAGCTGTTCCATTATTGTCAAAAAACTTAGTATAGTACCTTAAAAAATATATAATATGCTTTAAGTATTCTAAAATATATACTACATTATAAATTAAATTAGATATAATTTACCTGAAATATTCTATATTTGATTTAGGAAACTTAATTTTAGGCATATCTATAAATAATCCAAATTCATATGTCATTGATGTGTTAGGGAGAACAAATTGTCTTAAACAAATTGCACTAGCCACTTCATCATTTTTCACTAAAAGATTAAAAATAATATTTATTTTATTTTTTTATCTACATAGTGTGTCTTCATTTGATATTATATATGTAATACTTACTGTATATATTACTAGGGCCCAATGGCATATCTCTCAACTCTCCAAATAAATKTAAACTTTTAGATATAGTCATACCATTGCTATTKGGATCAAAATTTAATTGACTGAAAGATGCACCTTCCTTTTCCAAAAATATGTATTAATCCCGGTATTAATTTAAAAATTAAATATCAAATACTTGAACATTTAATTTGATTACTTTTATTAATCCGCCAATAACATAGGTA